CGTGTTTCTGTTGTTTCTCTCAGTCTCTGGCTCAGAAGGAAGACATGGAGGAGAGGATCACCACGCTGGAGAAGCGCTACCTAGCGGCTCAGAGAGAAGCCACGTCTGTCCACGACCTCAACGACAAACTGGAGAACGAGATCGCCAACAAGGACTCGCTGGTCTGCCAGGTCTGCAGCGCGTCTTTATCATGTTATGCTTGTAGAAAACAGAACATTGTCACCGGGTGCTGTTACATTTATTCACTCAGTTACCCACAAACCAGTTGAAAAGCACCAGCTCATTCTCTAGAACAAACACAGCCTGAGGTGTCTTCCTAATTTAACAACATTTACCAGTCATCAAATAATCATTACTGATTTAATTTTCAACAATTTAAGTAAAAAGTTGATTTGAAAAAATCTGTTCTATACTCTAAGCCAGTGGTTCTCAAACCTCTCCATGAAGTACCCCCAGCACTGCACATTTTGTATGTCTCCCTATATCTGACACACCCACTTCAGGTCTTGCAGTCTCCACTAATGAGCTGATGAGTTGAATCAGGTGTGATAGCTGAGGGAGACATACAAAATGTGCAGGGCTGTGGGTACTCAGGACAGGTTTGAGAACCACTGCTCTAAGCAATGAAGTTTGAGTCGTCACTTGCTGCTGTCGGCCCGCAGTTTTGGGTTCTGGCTGTAATTCAGGCATATGTGTGTGTGTGCGTGCGTGCGCGTGTGTGAGCGTGTGTGCGTGCGGCGTGTGTGCGGTGCGTGTGCGTGCGTGCGGTGTGTGTGCGTGTGTATGTGTGCGTGTGTGTGTGCGGTGTGTGTGTGCGCGTGTGTGTGTGCAGATGGAGGACAAGGGCAGGCAGCTGCAGGAGCGTCTGGAGCTGGCGGAGCAGAAGCTGCAGCAGACACTGCGTAAGGCCGAGACGCTGCCGGAGGTGGAGGCAGAGCTGGCGCAGAGGGTCGTGGCCCTCACTAAGGTACGGCTCACACATGCTATCATCATGCTGTCAGCGGGCCACAGTCAGGCTGTGATTCCACTGTCGGCCTCCCAGGAACAAAGTCACACAGCCACACCATTCAGAGGACAGAAGCAGCTGTTTGTTTTCTTTTTGACCACTGATTAATGATAAAAATGTTACAGTGACAGTATTGTCTTCTTGTTTTTGTTTAGCGTGCACATCATGAAACTGTTTTTGATCTGTTTTTCATGTAAAATAGGACACACACATTCCCTCGTGGCTGCTCCTGTTTATTTGTGGCTCCACAAAACAAATCTATTTGGAGTTTCCTGTTCCTGTTTGTAACTTATACTGAATAGGGTTGGGCAATGTCTACAAAATTGGCATCGGACGATGTCTACAGTGAAACATCGCGATGGATGATGACATCGGTGGGGGCGGGGGGGTGGAGTTAGGGGGTGTGGCCGAAGCGTGAATCCTTATAAGAGAAAAGGGAAAACAAATAACGATTCCTAACACCATGTCTACACCGGACACGAGCGGTGCGGCGCGACAAAATTCTATAGAACCACTGATCTATAATAGAGATTCATTATACAGTATATAGATCAGTGTATAGAACTCATTATAATCAGTGATGCTGTCTAATTATTTGTAGATCCTCAGTACCACTGACAAACATATAATCTTGTCAAATGTGTGGTAAGTACTGCTGCTCCATAAACAGAGTACGTGCGATCGCGAATCTCGAAAGTGAAAGTGAAACTAAAAAGCGATCGTGCATTCAAAAGCACAATGCGAGTTTCAATGCCAGGTATAATAGCGGCTCCCTGATGCCCAAAATATATATGATGTATAATTACCCAATGATATAACTGCAATGAAAAATATTGAAATATATATTTTCCTCCCATCTCGTATTTATTCCCTTTAAGGGGAAAGATCTGAGTGTTTAACTCACACATGGGGTTTTATTTGTAAATGTTGTGCGTTAAATGAAAAGCAGAGTTTAGAATCGCGTTCAGTTTATTGTTTGTTCACTGGAGTCGGAAGTTTTCAAGAGTATATGGACTGTGCACAGTTAGGTCCAGGTGGTTTTAGTTTGTTTAAATCCTGATTTGTGTACGGAATAGGGATGGCTCGATACCACAATTTTGACTTCGGTACGATACTAGGATCTAATACCTCGGTATCGATACTAAATCGATACCATAGGTGACAAATAACCAGCCTCAAAATATAAGTGAATTGAAAACAATTTTATTAAACGCACTGCTTGGAACTCTGCATGAAAAATTGTGCAAACAAAATGTAAAAAAATAAAAAAACCTACCATAGGTCAGATTTTGATTTTGAAGAAAAAAAAACTGAAGAGATAAAATTAAAATAGGATCATCTCTTCATATCTTTTCAGTCTTTATCACATGGTGCAAAGAAAATGTATCAGAATGTAACAAAAAAAAAACCCTAGAGTAGAGTTTACAGGTTAAATGTTGATTTTGGGGGGGAAAAAAGACTGGATAAAATGGGTTCACATCTTCATATATTTTCAGTCTCTATTTTTTTGCTAGCTCCTTTGTTAGCTGCAGATTTTTGGACAGGAAAACTAATGTGTCAATGCTGTCACTTGATAGTCTGGACCTTAGTGGGCTACAGATCAGGCCTGATGTACTGAAAACTCTCTCAGAGGCTGAGCTTGATGCTGGAATGCAAAGGTAATATTTGGCAAATGTTGAAAGAATGGGGAGGCTTGATTCATGCCTTTTCCACCGAGAAAGTGGGCTTTCTGTGGCACTGGTCTCTTCCATGGTCTTGTATGTGTGGAGTTCTTTTTTCAGTCTGTCAGCTGCTGGCATCTATAGATATTCTCTCCCAGCTTGACATTCATCTCCCTTTTCCAACTCTTTTTTTTTTCTCTCAGATACAATTGTTGACAGGAGGCTACCCAAATCTTGTTTTTGTTTTTTGGCACCTGTTTGTTTTTCCTGCTCTGCCTGAGTTGACTCCATTTGTTGACTGAGGTGACTGAGATCAGCTGTGGCAGCCTTTTGCATAAGTACTTCAATCACTTCCTTCTCCTTAGTTACAAATGTGTTCTTAAATCTAGGATCAAAGAAGGTTGCTGAATTAAGAAGGATTTGTAACTGTTCATTGCTGTATCTCATCTCCAGATCTTTCCTGATCTCTGTTTTCATGCTGTGGGATAGCACGGAATCTGTTTCACTGTCCTGTACATGTGACAGTGTCTTCCACATCACAGGGATGACAAGAAAGCGTTGTCTCTTTTTCACCGAACAGGGCTTCAGTGAAGGTACTTAGTGGGCCCAGGACCTCGTGCACTGTCTCCAGTGTGGTGATGTCTGTGTCAGAAGGCATTAGGCACCACTTATTCCTGTTTTCTGCTAAAGCAGCACAGACGGCTTGCTGCTGTTCACAGAAACGGTCCACCATGTCAAATGTAGAACCCCAGTGGGTAGGTTCATCGTGGACCAGCTTGTGCTCTGGGAGGTGAAGGAGCTGTTGCTTTTCTTTTAAAAGCCTTGACATTTTGTTTGATCTAGAAAATGCACATACAGTCTTTCTAAGCCTGGACAGACATGATGTCACACGGTCCAGGCTTGTAGCCTTGTTCACTGCCAGATGTAGGTTGTGACCGAAGCAAGGAACCCAATGATAAGACTTCTCCTTAAATGCTTTGATGTTTGAGGATGCATTATCTGTTGTGATTCCACTCAGATGTGTCATATCCAGTTTCCATGTTTGAATTACTGTTTCTTCAAGGACCTCTCTAATGTTCTCTCCTGTGTGATCTGAATGCATTGCTGCACATCCAAGACACCAGGACTGCATTTCCCAAGAGTCACTAATGAAGTGAATTGTAACAGCCATATACGGGTCCACTATTCAACTCGTCCAAGGGTCTGTTGTACAAGCAAAGTAAGGCTGGCTGGACCGTTGTGATTCAAGCACAGACCTCGTTTCATTGTACAAAGGGGGAATCTCTCGCTCAGAAAAGTATTTTCTCCTTGGCATCTCATATCTTTTGTCAAGCTGTTGAAATGGGAGTTTGGTCCATACAAATAAACTCTGCTACGGCCTGTTAAGTCTTTTTGCTTCTTTGGAGCTTCTTTCATATTTTCTTGTCACGAACAGTACCTCTGAAATAGTAGGCTGGCTTGAAGATGTTTTTTTGTTGCTGTTCCTTTCTGTGGGTGTCAAAAGAAGGAATAATTAAATTTACATGTAAAACATCAGCTGTTATGCATCCACATTAGCATTAATCTTGGTTATTTTTAGTGTTTGGGTTCATATTAGTTTTAATGCACAATGTTAATCTGGTAAACATGTATTAGTGTATTTTTTAAAGAATTATTGATTGATCTAGAAACAAGCAGCACAGACGGCTTGCTGCTGTTCACAGAAACGGTCCACCATGTCAAATGTAGAACCCCAGCGGTTAGGTTAATCAGCTTGTGCTCTGGGAGGTTAAGGAGCTGTTGCTTTTCTTTTTAAAGCCTTGACATTTTGTTTGATCTAGAAAATGCACATACAGTCTTTCTAAGCCTGGACAGACATGATGTCACACGGTCCAGGCTTGTAGCCTTGTTCACTGCCAGATGTAGGTTGTGACCGAAGCAAGGAACCCAATGATAAGACTTCTCCTTAAATGCTTTGATGTTTGAGGATGCATTATCTGTTGTGATTCCACTCAGACGTGTCATATCCAGTTTCCATGTTTGAATTACTGTTTCTTCAAGGACCTCTCTAATGTTCTCTCCTGTGTGATCTGAATGCATTGCTGCACATCCAAGACAACAGGACTGCATTTCCCAAGAGTCACTAATGAAGTGAATTGAAACAGCCATATACGAGTCCACTGTTCGACTCGTCCAAAGGTCTGTTGTACAAGCAAAGTAGGGCTGGCTGGACGGTTGTGATTCAAGCACAGACCTCGTTTCATTGTACAAAGGGGGAATCTCTCGCTCAGAAAAGTATTTTCTCCTTGGCATCTCATATCTTTTGTCAAGCTGTTGAAATGGGAGTTTGGTCCATACAAATAAACTCTGCTACGGCCTGTTAAGTCTTTTTGCTGCTTTGGAGCTTCTTTCATATTTTCTTGTCACGAACAGTACCTCTGAAATAGTAGGCTGGCTTGAAGATGTTTTTTTTGTTCCTTTCTGTGGGTGTCAAAAGAAGGAATAATTAAATTTACATGTAAAACATCAGCTGTTATGCATCCACATTAGCATTAATCTTGGTTATTTTTAGTGTTTGGGTTCATATTAGTTTTAATGCACAATGTTAATCTGGTAAACATGTATTAGTGTATTTTTTAAAGAATTATTGATTGATCTAGAAACATAAACGTTATAAAACTGATATATGTGTGTGTATGTATATATATATATACAGTGGGTACGGAAAGTGTTCAGACCCCCTTAAATTTTTCACTCTTTGTTATTGCTTCCCTTTAGAGGTCGTCACAGCAGTAATATGCCCTTCATCACTATTACTAATACTAAAAATAATATTACTGATCTTTTTAAAATAAAAGTCTAAATTAAATCAGTTGAAAGAGACACATTTACCTGTCGATCTTTTAACTCCTTGAACAAATCAGGATGAGCGAGTGACAAATGTTCCCATGGCAGCACATGATTTATAGCAGCGCTTGCAGACTGGTGAATTAAGGTCGGTTGGTTCACCTTTTTCATCACTTTTGTAGGCAAAGTAATGCCATATTTCACTTCTACCGCTTTCTTTATTTATTAATTTCGGACGTGTAGAGTGAGTTTCACCTGTTTTATCCATTGTCGTTTCTCCGTTGTCATGCTTGCCGGTTTCGCGTCAGTTTGGGTAACACTGCGGAACAGCAGTGAATGAAATACCGAATTGAGCAAAATTATGATATCGAACCGTTTGAAATATAATATATACCGGTATTTTTCCAGTACCGGTATACCGCACATCCCTAGTACGGAAAAACACTTCTCAAAGCGTCTTCTGTGTGCGCGCAATAATAGACAACAGAATATGATTCTAATTTCGTCAGATGAATTTTTTCAACAAACTACTGAAAAAGAAAACTCAGCAAGCAACATGCAGGTTTGTTTCAAACACAGATGAAGCCGGAGACACCAGCTGTAATGATTGATGAAGTGAAATGCTGAAGGAATGATCATTCGTCTGCTAACTGAGTGTAAATGTTTGGCGTGTGTGGTCCTGGCGTGAAGCTGCGTGCTTGTAGTGAGTTGGTGAATCACACAAATAGTTTATTTAGTGAAACGTGTGAGATGGACACGGATGTAGGAGGAACATCACCGCAGACGGGAGGATCTGTGCGTTTAACAGAGTAATGAAGACACTGCAGTGTTTTTACCGTCTTGTCGTCTGGTGCCTTTTCTCCTTTTTAATTGTGTGTCAATCCTGCTGTTCATAGAGCTCAAATCTTCCCCATGTTCCTTCTCTTCCTCTGTATATGACCCCATCTCTGTGTGTCTGTGTGTGTCTGTCTCTCTCTCTCTCTCTCTCTCTCCTTTGTGTGTGTGTGTGTGTGTGTGTGTGTGTGTGTGTGTGTGTGTGTGTGTGTAGCG